TTTTTTGGGTTTTTTTATTTGTTTCTTGAGGGTTTTTGAGAGTGAGGAAGCTTTGCTGTAAAGCAAATGCTGGGATTTCCATATTTCCATGCTGGGAATGGGCTGGAGGGGTCCGAAAGGTGGTGAGGGAAAATGTAGGCACTTACTAGTTTAAAAAGCCCTTTTATATGTGATTATTTTGATAGGAGCACTTCCCCTGGGGATATGATAAATAAAACTCAACTGATTGTTGCGCTTGAACGCTGCAAAAAGTGAGGCTTTACCTGCATGGAGTACAAGACATTTGACTTCAGATCCTTTTGAAGATTGTCCAGGGAGCAATTACACTTTGCAAGGGTTAATCTTCTAGTGAGCTGTCATAAAAGGAAACAAAAATGCAACACTTTGCATCAAAGTTTTTATTTTCTAAGGACAATTGTATTAGAGGAGTATTTTTAACCTTTGGTTTTACAAAGTATCTGCAAATGTGGTTTTCGTAATAATTTTCTTTCCTAAGATTTTCTTTTTAACAGTTTCCTCTTTTTCTTGTTTTTTTTCCCCCGCTTTTTCTTGGATTTGACTTTTAATAAAATAGGAGTCAAGAAAAAACAGTATTTTTTAATATATTTTATATATATATATATTAGTATTTATATATATATATATATATATTAGTATTATATATATATTAGTATTTTACTCGTAGAGTATTTCAGTGTTGCTTTTATTCATGTTGTAATTTATAGGTATTTTTAGGGCAGGTATCTTCCTGGTGATTTAAAATGTGTCATGTTATTCTTTTGAACACGCAAAACAATAAAATCATATCAATAATGTCCTCTTCAAAGGTTGCTCCTCTACAGCTTTTAAATATGAATTACCAGTTACTTGCCTTAAGTTGGAAGCTTCTCATTTTATTGTAGTCCCTGTAAATTGCTCTCTTCATTGTGTTGGTTTAAAACTTCTCTCTGGCAAATGTCCCTATCCCTTTTTTCTTTGGAGTTTGGCTTTAATAAGATTAAGTTGGTAGTGACTTCTCACTCTGTTGTTATCTGTCATTTGGTTGTGAAAAAAGCAGAGGAGCTGACGCTGTTTCAGAACTTGTAAAGTCTTTGGTTCCTGCTCTCGATTGTTTTGTTTTCATTGTTGTTATGTCATTCCCTTCATATCGCACACTCTGCCAAGAGCTGTGATCTGTGAGCACTTGGTAGCCGTCTGGGGCTGAGTCATGGTGTCTTGCAGTTCATGCGAGTGCAGGCCAGCAGGAGCCAGCAGCTTGGTTCCCTGCATCCCTCTGCATCTGTGCTGTTGTTAAGGGAGTAGCCAGCTCCATGGGGAAAGTGCGTGGATTTCGAGCAGTGTTCTCTCATTGCCTGTGCTGTACAGTAAGCACAGATATTCTGGGAATTGCAGTCCTTGGAAGGTCATGTGAGTACATTGGAAGCAAGCCAGCTGGGAGAGCAGGTGGAAGAGATACCTATGGCTTCAGCATCAAGGCTGTTAAAGATGGGTCAGGATTCTGTGGGCTGTGCTGTGGAAGGACAAGAAGGCACAGCACTGCTGATGTGGCTTCAAGCACACAGAGTGACAAGGCTGACAGAAGACAGCTGAGAGGTGAGGCTGAGAGGAGCAGAGCCAACAGCTGCTGTGTTTGAAGTTCAGGACATGCCTTGTTAGCGGTTAGCACATAAAGACTTAGCTTGCCCGCTGGATCTGTGAGGTTCATTAAGATTAGGGGTGGTCACATAAGGCACTGGAATATTGGTAATGGAATATTTTAATACAGGCCAGCAGCACTGTGTTAATTCCTACTGCCCAGCTTCAGGCTCTCTTGACAGGCTAGATTAAGAAGCTGACTTCCCATGTATAGATCCACTGAGACACCACGGGGTGTTCCAGCGCAGAAACCTAGGTCAGGTACTTTAAATCTCTAGGAAAGAGTGTCTTTCTGTTTGGGCTACATGTAAGGTACATACGTAAGTTTGGTGTCTAAGGTCCAAAAATTTTGTATATACAATTAAAATGGCTCCACAGATCTCTTTTACTTTCGAGCTCTCCAACTGAATGTTTATTCTACTTGTTATTATACTAAATAATATGGCAGTTCGGATCTGTGATTCAGTCACTACGAAAACACTACAGAATATAGCATGGTAAATCTGAGGCATCAGATTTTGAGATTAGTATGTTGCATGAGACGGATCCTCAGCCTAGGTAGGGTACTAATCAGTCATGTAATGATGATATTAGGATGTTACCCAGGATTTTGTAAAATTCTGTAGTGAAAATTGTGGACTGAATGTGGTTGAGAGTCAGGATATGATGAAGGAATCAAGACAGTGTAAAAGAAGCCTTGAATTGAACTCTCTGAAGTCCCTTTGTGAAGTAGGGATTCTAGGTCAAAGCATTTTACTGAAAAGCAAAATGTGACTTCTTGAAAAGCTCAGCTGCTTGGTAGGGAGAAAACAGATACGAAAGATTAAGCTAACAGTTACTAACACTAATACTGTAGTATTTTTCCCATCTCTTAACTGGTTTGAGTTTTTTGGTGGTTTTGTTTTTGTGGAAGTTTTTTTGGTTTGTTTGTTTTTTTTTTCTTTACTTTCTTGGTGATTCTCATTCATCTGGAGTTATTAGACTGCCTTATGAATGAAACTTTATGTTGATGCTCTTGAATGAATTCCATTCCATCAAAGAGCAATTGACAGGCATTGGAAGCAAGAAATATGTTTTGGTTTGGTTTTCTTTTTTCACCAGCTATTAAATTATTACTGATTTTCTGCAGTCAGTCAATGCCTGTGGTTTGGGAGCTTTTATCATTTGTGTGTTTTTTTCTGTGGTACACTTGGTTTTGTACCCAAATACACTGAAACATAAGAACAATGAAGAGGACAGATGTAGTTTCTATTTATAGCAACATAAGTAAGATAAGGCTAATTTAGTATACAATATGCTGAGTTAAGGGATATGGTAACAATGCATATAAAGCTTAATTCATCTGTTTCAAAAATTGAATGTGAAGTGATTTCTTGCTAATTGTAACACAATATCCTGGCTATCCCAGCATCCTTAAACTTTCAAATTTATCTCTTCGTATTTTGACTGAATATGTACAATGTGATGAAAAGGCAGCTGTTTGTGGGTAGCATTCTGTGGTGCAGGGTCAGGCAGTGGTTTAATGGCTGAACTCTGACAAGGTCATCCTCTTCTCAGCATGTGCAGTGCCCCAGCAAAATGCAGCTGGTCCCTCTTAGCAGGGAAGCTGACGCTTTAAGGGCCACTGGAACCTACTGGTATTTTGGTGCCCTACCTTTATCTGTTCTGTAAAAACATCAAACAAACAAGACCAGCAAACAGGAAACCCCCACACCACAACCTAAACAAACAAAACAACCAAAAAAGACAAAAGATAACAACAGATAACTCTTAAGTTCCAGGACTATTTGCTTAAACACATTTTGGCTAGCACATTCTAGATACATACAATATCTTATGCTACCCTTCTCCCATATCAAATTACTGCATAATCACCTGTAATAGTTGTTAAAAATATTAAAGTGAAGTAAATGCAAAATGTTTACATGTTATTATTTCATAGTGCCCTCAAGAATGCTAGGATCTTTAGATCTAAAAAAAAAAATGGTTTATAAGCTGCAAGCCAAATTCATGGGTAATTTTTAAAATAGATTGCAAGGTACTTATCTGAGTTCTATTGCAGCAAACTGAGAGACAGAAAGTGAAACCAATCACCTGTGACACTCAATATTCTCTTACTGATAATTTAAATTGGTATAATAATAATACTAGATGTTTTTCCTGCCTTAGTGGGTAATTAGAGAAAATTAATGATGAGAGTGGCAGTTTGTTGTCAGATTATTATCTAGTTAATTTGGCTACTATTATTTTTCCTTTATTTACTTATATTATGTTTTTCATAATCATCAACTACTCCAGCTTACTTTTTAAAGAAAATTGTTTCTGCTTTCTGGAAGTGACAATATGTTATTTTCACACATGAAATGTGAATAGTGTAATAGTTAAC